GCATGTTAGGGGAATCAGATTCTTACTAAGAGCATACACAATGGTGATACAACATGGGTATCATTAAATATAAATTTATTAAAACACACACTCTCTCTTCCTTTTACTCAACTTTATACCTTCTCTTTCATCTTTTTACTCAACTTTTATTAATTTTATACTCTCTTTAAATATAAAATTATTAAAAACACACTCTTTCTCTCTTCAAAAATATCAACTATTTGATACTCTCTCTCCAAAAATACCCACTATCTTTTCTCTTTACTCAAATTTTATTAATTTTATATTTCAATACACCCTATTATTTTAATCAAAAACACTCTTTTTTTTTTTACTCAAATTTTAATAATTTTATATTTAATGATACCCACATTGTATCACCACTACTTATGCTCTAAGGATCCCAAAACATAGCGTCTCACCTAGTTACCATTATACCTAAGATAGTGAACACCTAGTTACCATTATAATAAAACATATATTCATTGCTCAGTGTCTAGAATCAGAGAATTGTGATCACCTCACTAGACGAAACTCCTAACTAATAGGAATAAGGATAGACAAACACTACACGTGATACATTCAACTACAGATGCCACCTGATACAACTCATAGATTATCTCCTGAAACCTTGTCCAATCGATCTTCAGCCCCAACCAGTGATGTAGAAGGATGGTCAAAGGCGAGAGCATGGTCTGACTGATGGTAAGAAGCATTCAAGCCTGATTCTAGTATTGGGTGCGCCACTACCATATCAGGTGTATAACCAGCTGCACCTCTCACCAATCTAGGCTTCTTTGATGATCGCTCTTCTCCAGCGCTCTCATCCGGAGACCCAATGTTACACCCCGAGTCCGGTGTCAAAGGCTCTCGGTAAGATGAAAGAGACTCCTCAACTGATAGGCTCTTGTCTGGTCCACATTCTTTGCCAGACTTATCTTGGAGGGGAGACTCAGATGTTGGGGCAGGGGTTGCGGGATCAGATTCGCCTGTTACTGGGGCAGAGGGTTCGCCAAGGGCTCCACTGAGTCGCTGTTGCTCTTCAATTATCTTCTTCAAGTACTTCCCTTGTGCTTCTATCCGTAGTTGCAGCTGTCTTTGCACCTATAAACATCAAAGAATGTCATATTTGACGCAGAACTAACTGTTGAAAATCTGATTTAAGTATTTCGTTTTGCTTTTTCTTTGTTAAGAAGCATGGTGATGGTGAAGCATACTTCTAGTTGCTCGTGCAATCGTTTCTGAACTTCCATCTGCAACTTGAGGGCTTCAGTTATCTGCATTCCCCTGTAATCGAAAAGTCACTTTCTGATCACTTAATCTGAAGCACCAGGTAGTAGTATCACAAATCAACTCAAACAAAGAAAATTCAACGTACGAGGAACCATCCAACCCAGAGAGCACATCTCCAGATTCTTTCTTATCAGTTTTCTTCCCTGAAAATTTACGAGTACCAGTTTCAGGGAAATAAGCAAGTGGGAGCATGAGAAAAATGAAGGAAATCAGTGTCCACCTACCTTCAGAAGACGAATCTGGCAGATACTTTGCAAGTCGATATTTCTGGCTCAAACACACATTTGCAGAAATCAGCGGAGTAAAATGCAAAGAAAATGGAGGATGCATTCATAAGACAGGTAAGAGAAAGAGAGAATGGCCAAGGGCAGAGAATGAATACCTGTAAATGACTCTTGACATGATATATAGTTAATCCTTGTACACCCATCACTCTAAGAACGCCTTTGGGTGTAGCTCCTTTGGAGATCAAAAGAAGGAGAAAAATATTCAGTAACCTTAACCAAAAACAGATAGGCTTCTCCTCTCATGACTAGCAAACATACACGGATTGATAAAACTGACGAAAACATGAGATACTGCTATCTATATTACGAGAGACTGAATATACACGAAGGAAGGCTTGTTATT